CTCAATCTGGGTGCCAGGGACCCAGGTACTTGAGCCGTTGTCTCCTGCTGCCTCCCAGAGCGCTCATTCGCAGGAAGCTGAAACTGAAGCGGATGAGCTAGGGGTGAAGCAGGGACGCAGAGCCCCCAGGCAGCGTCTGAATCATTGTGTCTTGCTTTTTTACTGGAAGCCCGTCCAGGATGTGCAGGTTGCAGATCCTCATTCTGCATGTTAGCATGGTTTGCGAATCTTCCATTATTTTCCTAATCCTGCTTTCTCATGGGAAACTCACGGTCAATTACATTTCCCGATTGTTATTTGAGCCCTGTTCTGTGTTACACCACTCCAAACATGGTGCCTTGTGTCTTCCATTTTCCAAAATGCATCGTGACCAGGAAGGGGTGAGTTGATGTAGATGTAGAGTTTAATTTCCAGGGTTTCTGGAAAGGAAAATGCCAAGTAGCCCACTAATTTTTAAAAAGATTTTATGTATTTATTACTTGTTTAGAATAATTTATACATAATAGAGATTTCATCTTCTGGATTCACTCCCTAGATGGCTGCTATGACCAGGGCTGGGCCAGGCAGAAGCCAGCAGCCAAAACTCCATGTGGGTTTCCCACGTGAGCGCAGGGGCCCAAGTACTTAGGCCAATTTCCACTGCTTTCCCAGGTGCATTAGCAGGGAGCTGGATCGGAAATGGAGCAGCCGGGACTGGAACCGGCACTCATATGAGATGCTGGTGTCACAGATGGCAGCTTAACCCCTGTACCACAATGCCAGCCAGGAAGAAGCCCACTAGTGCCCAGTGCTTGAAAGTATTCCCTGGGGGCCGGCGCCGTGGCTCACTTGGTTAATCCTCCACCTGCGGTGCCGGCATCCCATATAGGCGCAGGGTTCTAGTCCTGGTTGCTCCTCTTCCAGTCCAGCTCTCTGCCGTGACCCGGGAAAGCAGTGGAGGATGGCCCAGTGCTCGTACCCTGCACCCTGCATGTGAGACAAGGTAAGAGCACCCGGCTCTTGGCTTCGGATGGGTGCAGCGCTGGCCGTAGCGGCCATTTGGGGGGTGAACCAACAGAAGGAAGACCTTTCTCTCTGTCTTTCTGTCTAACTCTATCTGTTAAATTTAAAAAAAAAAAAAAGAAAGTATTCCCTGTACATCCCCGGGGGGGGGGGTGGGGGTGGGGGTGGGGAGGGAGTGCAGGCACAAGGCCTTTGGGATCTAAAGGAAAATGTGATACTCACCACACACTCGTGTCTTCATTAGAGCTAGAAAAAGAATGGTTAGGGGCTGACTTTTCTTCCTGCCTGAGCTACGCCAACATTAAATAACAGGCTATAAAAAGTTGCCTTTCTCGGGAACATACGGTTCATTAGCACTGCAGGGTGCACCTGTGCCAGACACCGTTCTTCCTCAAGTCCCGTGTCCCCACTTGTTTAAAATGTGAGTGATCACCCCCCTGTCCCTCAGTCGAGTACACTGGGGTGGTTTAACGCTTCCTGGCACACCGTGTCCTTGTTGGCCTTGGATACCTTCCTCTCAAGCACGCCTGATTTTTTAAATTGTTCTGCAGTTGGAAATCAGCCTTACCAGGCAGGTGCACATCTTAAGCTCTTCACAGTGCCCTACCAGCCTAATGAAACCACACAAATATAAAAGCAATTAAGTGGCAGCATTTGCAAAATGATTGCTTGTTAGTAATCTGTGTAGTTACAGAGACCTTGTCATTCAGACCTAGCGGCTTGGATATTTTGGTTTTACCAAGGGAGGTAAAAAAAACATTCAAAGAAAATTCTCCATATCCATGACCCCTATCTATTCTGGGCTGAGATCCCCAGGCCACTCTAGGGCCTGACAATTTGTTTGCAACCATATTTCCTGGGTTAAGAAGAGAAGTACCTTTCTCCCCCTACCTCCTCACCTTTTTGCAAACCAATAGAAAACAGCAAGTTCAGCAAGAAGTAGTAGAGCAAACTTCTGTTGCTCATTTTGGGCGGAGGATAAAGCATGAGGGGCAAGCATCCCTCCAGCTTGGATGTCTGTAAACGGAAGTGAACATGTCCCCGTGCATCGTGAGCCTCCATCAAGGGGCTCCACCGCCATAGAATCTCCTGTAGCATTCTCCAGCTCGTGTGCCTGGCCCTCTGTCCTGCTGTCTCCTCTCATAGCCAAGGCTGCCTTTCTCAGTTCAAGAATGGGTGCTATTGGAAAGGAATCAGGACTTAAGTGAACATGCTGAGATTAAGAAGAAATATCACACACACAGCCCAGAGACAGACTAGTAAAACATGGTAGCAAGCGCCCCCAAGGCTGGTGAAAATGAAGACAACGTGTTGCTCCACAAAGTAACCTAGGAGAGGGCATTTGGCCCAGTGGTGGACATGCTGTCTAGAACACCTGCGTCCCACATCGGAGGGCCTGGGTTTGCGTCCTGGCTCCACTTCTGATCCAACTTCCTGCACCCTGGGAGGCAGCAAGCCAAGGTTCAAGTACTTGAATCCCTGCCACCTACATGGGAGACTTGGATTAAGTTCTGGGCTTCTGGCTTCAGCCTGGCCCAGCCCTGACTGCTAGGGGCAGTTGGGGACCGAAGGGTTAAAAGTTCTATCTGTTTCTGTCATTCAAATCAACAAAAAATTTATGAATAAATTATAAAAGGTAGCGCAGCAGGTTAACGCCCTGGCCTAAAGTGCCGGTATCCCATATGGGGGCCAGTTCTAGTCCCAGCGGCTCCTCTTCTGATCCAGCTCTCTGCTATGGCCTGGGAAAGCAGTAGAGGATGGCCCAAGTGCTTGGGCCCCTGCACCCGTGTGGGAGACCTGGAAGAAGCTCCTGGCTCCTGGCTTCCTATCTGCTCAGCTCTGGCCGTTGTAGCCATTTGGAGACTGAACCAGCAGATGGAAGACTCTCTCTGTCTCTACCTCTCTCTGAAACTCTGTCTTCCAAATAAATATAAATAAACCTTTAAAAAGCTATATGTAATGCTGGATTTATATTTCTAGCAGACAAGATTGCTATAGAAAAATAAAAGCACCAATATGTAAACTCAAAGTATAATTTACAGTAGAAAAACCCCAAAGCCTCAAACTCAGTGAATATATGTTCACAGTGGACTAACCTGATTAATACACATATATAGCATGCTACAGGCTGTAATACAACTTTTGAAAAAAAAAAAAAACATTTTGCCAGTGGAATGGAAGAACTCCCCACAAAGATTATTCTAAAAGAAATATCAACGGCATAGAAATGGCAGTAATGCCAGGTTCATAAAATTGCCCATCCCAATTCTCAGTAGGTGTGTCTGCTTGTAAACTATGGTTTCAATTTGAAAAAAAAAAAAAAAAAAAAAGGAGGGACAGGAGCTATGCATGTATCATGTTATTTAACCTGGGTTCACTGTGTGTGTTGAGCACAGGGGTGATAAGGGGATAGGGAGAGGGAAGCAGGTGAAAGAAATGGAAACACTGACTCCCTCCCTCACCCAGCGTATTTACATAGAAAGATACCGGTGTGTGTGTGCACACACAACAAACAAGGAAGAGGGGAGGGTTTGATGCTAGAACTAGAAGGAATGACTTGTAGAAATATCACCAACTGAAAAGAAGGAATGTGAAGGTAATATGTAAATTGACTATCCTATTTGCATAACGAATGCTTCATATGCATATGTATAAGTTCACATAGCCAAGGAGAACACTATGCGTGTGTCCTGCTCAGTTAACAACGGCAGTCTGAGGGCTGTGGTACTGGAAAGAGAGCCAGGGCAAACGGGATGGGGAGAAAGACATTTAGCCGTGCATGTGCATATATACGCTTCTGTATTGATTCTTCATTTTTATTCCAAATAGCTACGTATTTTATAAAAGTTAATAGGGTAGAAATTATTAAGTTTTCTTTAAAATAAAAAAGAAGAAGTCTCAGTGAGGGCTGCAAAACATTCAAGAATAGTAATGACAAAAGACAGAATTTGAAAATTAGTTGGCCAGGAGCCGGTGCTGTGGCATAGTGGGTAAAGCTGCTGCCTGCAGTGCAGGAATCCCATATGGGCTCTGGTTCAAGTCCCTGCTGTTCCACTTCCAATCTAGCTCTCTGCTATGGCCTGGGAAAACAGCAGAAGATGGCCCAAGGCCTTGGGCCCCTGCACCTGTGTGGGAGACTTTGAAGAAGCTCCTGGCTTCAGATTGGCACAGCTCCAGCCATTGCAGCTATTTGGGGAGTGAACCAGTGGATGGAAGACCTTTCTCTGAGTCTCTCCGTCTCTCTCTCTCTCTGCCTCTCAAATACATAAAAATAAAATATTGAAAAAAATTAGTGGGCAAGAGAGCAGCAGAGAGGTTCTGTTATGAAGAGATACTTGGGAATAAAATGGAAGAGAAAGATGCAGAGTTAAAAGGGATTGCAGGGGCCGGTGCTGTGGCTCACTTGGTTAATCCTCTGCCTGTAGCGCCGGCATCCTCTATGGGCATTGGTTCTAGTCCCAGTTACTCCTCTTCCAGGCCAGCTCTCTGCTGTGGCCCAGGAGGGCTGTGAAGGATGGCCCAAGTGCTTGGGCCCTGCACCCGCATGGGAGACCAGGAAGAAGCACCTGGCTCCTGGCTCCTGTCTTCAGATCGGCGCAGCGCCAGCCTTGGCGGCCATTTGGAGAGTGAACCAACAGAAGGAAGACCTTTCTCTCTGTCTGTCTCTCTCACTGTCTGTAACTCTACCTGTCAAATAAATAAATAAAAGATCTTAAAAAAAAAGGGGGGGGGGATTGCAGAGAAGATAGTAGCCATAGCACAGAAGAGAACCAACATTGAATAACTGGCACTCCCGAGAAATTTTGTCATCGGCTGCTATGCAACCTGACGGCAGAGCTCCGAGACTAGAAAAATCTAGACTGAGGTTCAAGAAAAATCGATACAAATGATCAGAAACTGGATACAGTTTGGTACACAAGTATTATACGTCACAGAAAAAGAGTCCTTTGGGCAGTTAGCTCCCTCCCCTTCGCCACAAACCTTCTTCTTCAAAAAAGAAAATATCAAATAGTTTCCCATGGATTTACAAAAATTTATTTTTCTGAATGGACACCAGGGAAAATATAAACAAAATAAATTACTTAAGGTATTTCAAAACCTTTTTTTTTCCCAGAATGTTTTTCTTGAGGTCATCTTTGAGTCATCTTTGATTCAGTTTTTTATTCCACATGATTGTCACACTAGTAAGGGCAGTAAAAACATTTCCACCACCGACTCTGGAATTTTCTTCTGAGATGCTGAGATCCATTAAGCAAGTTTGATGCTAACGTCTTCCTGGCCAATGAAGTATTAACGGAAGGTTTCCAGGTCTCTGCCAGGACTTGTCTTTCTCAGCTGCTCTTTTCATGACTACTTGATGGAAGAGTTGCTGTTTTCCCATCTTGTCACAGGGATATTATGGGATCTGCACGTGACTTATGCCGCAGAAGGTTGGCTCCTTGAAGGGAGACGTGGGTATCACGTATCACTGTGACCTATCACGCTGCTTGGCCCTGTCTCTGACAAGGTGGTCACTCATCAGTGGTCACTCGCTGTGCTTGTCATAGGACTGCCTTGGCTGATAGGGACGTAGTGTAAATTAAGGATGCGACTTCCTGGAGACGTTTTTGTCACCACCTGCCCCCGCCTGCCTCCCTTTCTAACTTTAGACCAATATGCCCCCATATAGGGTTCTGAAATTGAAGAAACGTGGAGTGCAGCCTAAGTCAAGCTTCACAAACATGCATGGGAGTGAAAAGGAAATTGGTGAACTGCTGAGGTTTGGGGGCTGTATGTTACTGCAGACCAATTTAGCTTGCGCTGACTGTTACAACCCTTTAAGCAAGGGGAGTTGAAACCCTTGTTTCGGTAGGGTCTGTGTGATCTCCTGAAGCATTCGACGACCTCTTCAGGACTTCCTGAGGGTGACTGGTGTTGACCATTTCTCCCTGTGAAATGCAAGTTCCGGCTGTTTCAGGTAAGCTACGGTGGATACAGAGCGATCTCACCTGAGAGGTGCTGGCAGTCAGCCACTTAGATGTTATGAGGATGTGCTTGAATCACAGCCCAGCTGTTGCAAGCCACGATTTACATCTGTATTCTCATGAAATGTTCTGAAAATCTAAGCTAAGAAAATCTTGTTGGAACTGGAGATGGCTTCTCAGGGGGGAAGGGATGGACTGGGGGTGGGCAGAAGGGGAGGAGGAAGATAGTGTAGCCCTGAAGGATGTACTCTTCTTTTTCTTCTTTCCATGCAGCTAAAACTGATTCCCCACTGAAAGTATCAATCCAGGCCCCATAGCCTCCCCCCGCCCCACCCACCCTTCTTCTGTCTCCAAAGGAGAAATTCAGCACCAGTGCTCAGAGTTCTGGGGGGAGGTGTGTGAGCTCAAAATGTATTCGGGATCCAACTGCAGTTAAATGTCAATGGGTTCAATTTGCAGCAGCCCTTCAGAGCGTACAGGCTATAGTTTCCTCCTGGGATGACCTCACCGGGTCCCTTGGCAACAGCGCTGGTGGGAAACGAAATGCAACAGTTAAGCCTTGGATGGTGGAAACAGTAGGTAGATAGAAGCTGAAACATTAAAAAATATAGCACAGGCCAGGAAACTGACTTCCTGCTTCACATTCTGGTTAGGGCTAAGGACAGAGGAACCAACAAACTCGTTTTGGATGACCTCAAGGACACCCCCCCCGCCCTTGGAACAAAGCAAGGACAGAACCAATCCTTACAACACACTTGCACCTTAATGAGGGCATATAGAGTGGGAAGAATAGTTTTGCACATGGAATTCTGCACGGTGAGGGTGGTGGCATGCATTACTGGTAGTCTCTAATAGACCATAGCCTATCACCATTTGTCAGGATGGTTTTGATCCCCTTGGAAGGGGAGCAGAGGAGGGTAGCCATGAAGGGCATGGTCTTTGTGGACAGATAGACTTCATGTTTGCACTCATTTTGCTTGAGTGGGCATAGCCTCCCTCAGTCTTGATTTCATCCAATGCAAAGCAGTGCTCTAGAGTTTAATTTGTCCGAGTGTCTGCAAGGGTTAGGTGGTGGTTTACTTCACAAAGTAGGCCAATGCAATACCCAAGCAGCACTAGTGAGTCTTACAGTTCCTAGTCTTAGCAGAGAAAAGTCAATGCGGAAGGCTGTTAGAGCGGTAGCACAAGTTCTTTCTTTAAATGAAGAGATAGACAGTTGTGGCCTGGGAAAGCAGTGGAAGATGACCCAAGTGCTTGGGCCCCTGCACCACATAGGAGACCTGGAAGAAGCTCCTGGCTCCTGGCTTCGGATTGGCGCAACTCGGCCGTAGTGGCCAACTGGGGAGTGACCCAGCGGATGGAAGACCTCTCTCTCTCTACCTCTCCTTCTCTCTTTCTGCAACTCTGACTTTCAAATAAATAAATCAATCTTTAAATAAAGAGATAGAAAGCGATAATAAGGGAGTGGGGTCTTTGGGTTGGAACTGATGATGACGGAGTGCAAAGAAGGCAATACCTGGTCCACAGACTTTGGCAACAAGCTACCACTTCAGGTGTGCTACTGGGCAAGCTGGAGTTGAAGGCATTCTCTAAAGCGTGCTGGCAGTTGATGTCTACGGGAGTGGCGGACAGGATGCCTAAGGGCAGGAGAGAGTGCCTTTGATGGTCATGGTCGACGAAGTCACGGAACCCTCCTGTCCCATGCTCCTCCACCCCATCTCACACATTTCACTTCACAACATGCCGCTCAGCGGTGCTGGCCCCCAGCTCTCTGCAGCAGCTTAGGCTCCAGTGCAGGCTGGAGACCCTGCCTCCCCCAGAGGCTGTCTCCCTGTAGGCACCCAGCACCCCAAGGATGGACGCAGTACCTGCGATGCAGGCAGTCATGAAGCAGGCGGTGGTCCCCGCGATCAGCGCTCTCACTGCCCCAGCAGCGATGTCACGCTTCCTGGATGGAGCCATGGATGCTGGGGAACATGGGAGGGGGTGTTGTGAGCGTGATGCTGGGAAGTTCAGGGCTCAAGAGCTGAGCGATGAGCTCTGCCTCAGAGAAGCTGTCTGCTGTGGGAAGAAGGGAAGAAGAGACTCTTCCACACCAAAGGGCTCAGAGGCTTCTAAGCTCTGCGTTAGTGTCTTCAGGTTCACCCGAGGGGCTCACAGTGTACCTGGAGCATAGCAAGTCAGATGGGTTGCAAGAAGAGATCATCTGATGAGCTGATCTGCAACCCAACTGCCCCCAGACATTTCTATGCCACGGCAGACATCACTAATAAATCGTGGCATTTGGGGCCAGTGCTGTGGCGTAGCAGGTAAAGCCACCACTTATAGTGCTGGCATCCCATATGGGCACCGGTTCAAGTCCCAGCTGCTCTACTTCTGATCCAGCTCTCTGCTATGGCCTGGGAAAGCAGTGGAAGACGGCCCAAGTCCTTGGGCCCCTGTGCCCACGTGGGAGACCCAGAAGAAGCTCCTGGCTCCTGGTTTTGGATTGGCACAGCTCCGGTTATTGTGGCCATCTGGGGAGTGAACCAGCAAATGGAAGACCTCTCTCTCTCTCTCTCTCTCTCTCTCTCTCTCTGCCTCTCCTCTCTGTGTAACTCTAACTTCCAAATAAATAAATAAATCTTTAAAAAACAAACCCAGGGGGTTTCCATTGTGTCCTCCGAGTCTTTCTCCAGGCAGGCCAGCATAAGCCTGTTGGGATTAGCACGCCTGGTGAAATCTCTGTCGCCCCTGGGCTGGGAGGAGCAGTTGCACATTGGACCTAATTCTTCCCCAGTTAGCTGACTTTGGAAGGCTATACTGCAGAGCTGGGACCAAAAATAGCCCCTGGGGGGTTTACTATTGTGGCAGGACCTTTCTGTCCTGACGTGGATACCATTATAGAGCAAGATGCAGATTCTCAGCCCTGTTTGGGTCACCTCTGGGAGCTGCAGAACATTCTCTTCACTTACTGAGTCCACCAATCACTATGCCTAGGGAACCGATATTGGCGAATCCACAGAGGGCGTACGTGGCAATTGTCTCGGCGCGGATCTGCAAGGAAGCATAGACAGAGACTCACAAGATGTGGCCCCGCCTCGTAAGTCAAGCAGACATCGTAGTGAGCTTCATATTTTGACTAAAGCATCAATAGTGGCAAAGAAAGACACAACACATGACATGGACTTAACCTGATACTTCCTGACATCCCCTGGAATTTTTTTTTTTTTTTAAAGATTTATTCATTTATCCAAAAGGCAGAGTTACAGAGAGGCAGGGGCAGAGAAAGAGAAAGAGAGAGAGGTCTTCCATCCGCTGGTTCACTCCTCAAATGGCCACAATGGCTGGAGCTGTGCCTATCTGAAACCAGGAGCCAGGAGCTTCTTCTGGGTCTCCCACGCAGGTGCAGGGGCCCAAGGACTTGGGCCATCTTCTCCTGCTTTCCCAGGCCACAGCAGAGAGCTGGATTGGAAGTGGAGCAGCCGGTACTTGAACTGGCAGCCATAGGGGATGCTGGCACTGCAGGTGGAGGCTTTAGCCCACTACGCCACACGCCAACCCCTCCCTTGGAATTTTAAGGGGGGAGGGTGGGAAGAGGTTGTGGGGATTCCTGGGTTTCATACGCGCAGCTCTAGCTCCTGACTTCAGTTTCCTGATAAGGTAGCGGTGATGGCTCAAGTCAGTGGGTTCCTGCACCCACTCAGGAAGCCTGGATGGAGTTCCTGGCTCTAAGCTTTGTCCTCTGCCCAGCCCCATCTGTGGCAGGTGCCTTTGGGGAATGAGTCAGCGGATGGCAACTATTTAGCTCTCAATAAATAAATAATTCAAAAAATTGTTTAGAAAGGAAAACATTCAATGACATACAAGAATCTGTTCAGCATCATTAGTTATCAAAGAAATGTAAATTAAAATTGCAATGCAGTGTTACTACTTATCCACCATACTGGCTAAAATTTAAAAAGACTGGCAATGTTAAGTGTTGACAAGAATGTGAAACAACTGGAATATTTCTGGGAGATATGTAAATGACCCAGCCTACTAGAAGAACAGTAGGGTTTTTCTTCCTAAGTTAACACCCACTGCCCGTGAGACCCAGCAATTTTCTATAGGTGAGCTAAAAGCAGGTATCCACAGAGAGACTGTACAAGAATATTACAGCCATGTTGTGCATAATAGCCCCAATGCGAGAAATGACTAAAGTGCCCTCCAAAAGTCGAATGGATGAACCCACTGTGGATGTCCATAACATAAAATGCTCTCTGTAAGAAATAGAAGATGACACATAGAGCCATACGAATGCCACACGAGTCCACTTATATAAACTCTGGAACGAGCAAGAATGATTTACAGCAAAAGCAAGATCATCGGTTGCATGACAGCAGGTGGTCAGGGGGAATTCTGACCACAAGGGGCCACAGGCACCTTTTAATCACAATGGGAAATGTTCTACACCTGGATGGTGGTCATAGTTACACACAGATGACCCTTCATTATAGCTCAGTGTGAAAAAAGGAGTTATACTGGCCAAAAAAGGAACTTCTCAGGTCATGGGAGCTTCCTGTCCATGTCCGTCCGTGGCATGTGCCTGCTGTGCCTCAGCTCTGACCACCTCATGGGGATGTTATCATGCTCACTCGGGAGAGTGAGAGTGGATGGTTGGTCCCTTCACCGGCAGTGAGAAGATGGAAGTGAATTTGTAAAGTGTGCATGTGGTCCTCTGGCTCTAACCCAACAGCTGAGAGGTGCTGCTTCAGGTTCACAGATTGAACTACAGGAGGCTCCAAGGAGTCACTGGGCCCTGCTCTGCAGCAGAGACTTACCCAACCTGGCAAAGCTACCCTTGCTATTGGGGCAATCATTTTTTCCCCAGTATTCTGGGGGAAAAGATAATCTATGTTTTGGTTGAAAGAAGAAACCAAGCCAATGCTACATTCGAAAGTAGCAGTGCCCTTTTTCCTTTTGCTAAACGGAATTTTTTGAAAGCTCACATTCAAGACTCAAGTGGTCAAGGTAAGCTTTTTGTTGATCCTAAGGCCTCTCTTCTCTCTCATGGTTTCTGAGAACTCCTTTGTTGATATTTTCCATCAGCCGCATAGAGCGGGAAGGGAGAGACTCTTCAAGTATTTGTGCAGTCCACTGTTCGTGGAAAAGCTCATCCTTGCCCACTGCTCTCTCTAGTGCTTTTCAGTCCGTTCAATTGGCTTCAGAACCAGACATGCTCGTTAAGAGACTGTGGGGAGAGGGATGACGTAAAGGGGCTTGGAGTCAGTTCTTCTTTCTCCTGCCTGAATCTGCGCAAAGGAGACGCACAGCACTTTGACTTTGCCCACAAATGCGCAAGACTACATGATGGAAATATGTGGACGGCCCCCCAGGGAAACTCCCAACCAACACACGCTGTGGCTGTCTTAGCTCGTGAGCAAAGATGACCTACGTGCAGGACAATCACCAGGCCATGACTTCCATTAGTGAAGACTTGCTAACAGTGGCCGTCAGCACGGGCTAGTTAAAATGAATTACGGCGTGGTCGTACACCAGAATACAGTGTCACAGGCACTGATGTGGAAAGATAGCGGAGACGTGTTATTAAGTGCAAGAAGCAAGGTTAAGAACGGGGAGCGTGACATGTGCCGGAAAGAAGAGCAGAGAACTCACTTTTCCCTCTGCATCTTTCTGCACCTTTCGACTACTACTCCATGATAAACATCACCTGTCAACAAGGGAGCGAACATGCAGAGAGCAGACAGACCTCCACACCCACAGATTCTCAGAAGCAGATTCAACCAGCCCTGGATAGAAAATATTCAGGGAAGAAATTGCATCTGTACTGCACACGGGCACACTTTCCCCCTTCTCATTATTCCCTACCCAAGGAAGCATAATGACTCTTACACAGCACGTACAGTCATGGGGTGGAGTGAGCACTGCAGAGATGACCTAAAGTGTATGGGAGAATGTGCCTAGGTTTCAGGCACATACTACACCATTTTATAGAAGGGACTGGAGCAACTGCAGGCTTCGGTATCTCGGGTGGGGCTCCTGGGACCAATCCCACGTGGGTACCACAAGACAATTGCATTGTCTTTACTCTAAGAGAGATGTAATGAACAGCTCATTCTAGGTACATGGGCGTTACATTCGGTTCTGACCTCTTGTTTTCACAGGGGCGGAGAAAGGACAGCCATTGGGTTGTAAAAGGCCCATAAAATCATTTGGTCACAAGGTTAGCATTATGGCACAGTAGGTAAAGCCACCATCTGCAACACTGGCTTCTCATATTGGCACCGGTTCGTGTCCCGGCTGCTCCACTTCTGATCCAGCTCCCTGCTAATGCACCTGGGAAAGCAGCGGAAGATGGTCCAAGTGCTTAGGCCCCTGTCACCCATGTGGAAAACCCGGATGAAGCTCCCAATTCCTGGATTTGACCTGACTCAGCCCAGGCTGTTGTGGCCATCTGGGAAGTGAACCAGTAGATGGAAGATCTCTCTCTCTCTCTCTCTCTCTGACTTTCAAATAAACAAATAAGTAACTCTTAAAAAAATCATTTGGTTTCGCCCTGGCAAGGCAACCACAGGTAGGACTCGATATTCAATAAATCCTTTTTAAGCTGATGATTTTGTATGGCCCATGAAAGATGTTATAAATATCCAAATGGTCCTTGACAGAAAAAACAGGTTCTCTGCCCCTGTAGGCGGTCACCAATGTGCACAATTAGGTGGACATCACTGGGGCTTTGCTCTGGGGCCCACACAGTACTTGTAAGCTTGTCGTGTGGCGCCTTTACAGGAAGCTGTTGGACGGGCTCCTGCACTCTTTAGCTGGCAAGCAGAAATTGCTGGGATTCAGCCCCGTTTGTTGAGTGGAGATCAGAGATTTGGAGGAACAAAACGTTTCCTCCCTCCCTCTGACTGAACAATAGCACAAGCCACTGGGCTTGTGCTCCAAGTGGTCTCTGTACACCTGGCCTTCGGCTGGGCTCACCCCCAAACTCAAATCAGCTCCACTGTCTTGTCTCTACCTTCCTTACCTTCCTGCTAACCTTCTCCCAAAACTGCTTAGCACTGCCAGACCCCCCCCCCCCCCCCCCGGCTCACTGTTCATTAACAAAGCTATTTTCTCCTGGCAACTGGCAGTCGGGGCAAAAATAAATCAATAAAAAAAATAAAAAACCCACTTCCCTTAATTTAGCTTATTATTTACTTTTGGCAGGAAAACAGACTGGTTCTGGTGGCCTGCACACAGTGAGGATATTCAGCTAATACCACTGGGAAAGGACCCCCCCCACCTCCACCGCCGGAGGGCTCCCCCAGTCACATCAGATGTGCAGGACAAAATGCCCCCAAGCATGCTACACAGATGAGGGCTCTCCCGGAGAGGCTGTCATCTTTGTGTAACATGTAGGAGGAAATCCCATCGTCTGCACTTCCGGAGGCTGGGAGGGGATGGCGTGGTGCTCGGGGTGTCTGTCTCAGAACCTCAGGCAGCCTGTTTTTCCTCCCCTTTCCTTTGAAATCCATGTTTGTGATAGCAATGCTAATTCCAAATGGGTCACTCCGATGAGCGATGGTGGTGGTTGAAAGGTTCACCACCCATTGCCCTAAGAGTTGCCCCATGGGATGCTATTAATCCTCAGGGGAAATAGCTGGACACTCAGCTGCAAACATGACCTCACCCGAGTACCTCACCCCTCCAAAGGCAGGCAGACAAGAGCATGCGTAACAGGCTATTGAGCTAAGTCCTGGCTTAATTGTGGAGTGGCTGTCTCAAGGTCATCTGATCCCAGAGCCTGAGGTTTCTCCTTCCTCAAATCCACTTGGAGAGCAGCAATGCTGTCCTACCACCTGCTGAGGTTGCCCAGTCACTGTATTACAATTAGACAGCTTCTACGTTCAAGGAACCCTTTAGCTAGAAGAAGCCATTAAGGGACCAGCGCTGTGGCATAGTGGGTAAAGCCTCCACCTGCAGCGCTGGCATCTCATATGGGTGCCAGTTCAAATCCCAGCTGCTCCACTTCTGATCCAGCTCCCTGCTAGTGCACCTGGGAACACAGCAGAGGATGACTCAAGTGCTTGCGTCCCTGCCACCCAAATGGAATTGCTGGCTCCTGGCTTCAACCTTGCCCGCCCCATCTGTTGTGGCCAGTTGGGGAGTGAATCAGTTAATGAAAGATCTCTGTGTCTCTCCTTCTCTGTAACTCTGCCTTCCAAATAAATATTTTTTAATAAAAGTAAGTGTGCTTGTAGGAGGCATTTGATAAATATTTATTGATTCGATTGTAGGCTTAGATCTTGTAACTCTGCGTCCACAGTGCTCAAAAGTAAATGACCACCCTATAAGGACATCCGTGTGTCTACACACCCACACACACACAGAGCAACGGACAGAGGACCCATACATACTGCCCAATTCAATGTAACGGAAAATCACCCAGTGCCATGGACATTATGATAAAAACCAAGGGCCCATATAGTTCCTGACACACAGGGGCACACGTAACCCCTGATGAACCTATGAATGTGATGAGGAAATGTAATGGAAAAGCAGAATGCTACTCACCGACATATACTGCTGCACACCATTCACAAATTTAGGTCCAGCCTCTTTTCTCAAACTGATCAATCTGGAGAGGTGCTCGTAAGCCACAAACTCATTGAAGAACGTCTTATAGCCTATGAGCTTGGCAACCATGAAGCTGTCTTGCCAGTCCACTCCCATCATGAAGGAAAAAGGCATGAAGATGTAGGAGCATATGAGCTACAAAGACCAAAAGTTGACACTGCAGTTGAGGTCATGGAGCCCCTAAGAAGAACGAACGTCTTTCTCACGAGACTCGGTTAGTTCTCGCGGGAAGGGATCAGCCCTTGGGAGAGCAGGTTATTACAAAGTGTGTCAGCTCCTCTGTTCCCTCTCCCTCTTTGCAAGTGCCTGCTTGCCCTTCTCATCTTTCTACATGCAAGGAGCAGCTCGTAAACCTCACCAGAAACCAAGCAACGGAGCCACCTGACCTTGGACTTCCAGCCTTCAGAACTGTGAGCGACATAAACCTCTCTTCTTTATACACACTCAGTCTCAGGGTTTCCGTGACAGCAACAGAAAACAGACCAAAGCAGATGTCAGGACGGGAACTGGGTTGTTTGGAGTAGCCTGGGTAAGTCAGCTGTCTGTCTTCTGTACTGTGTTAACAATGTGCTGCAGGACTTTAGACAGAAACCAGAGGACCAGAGCACAACAGAACTATACCTCGAAGCTCAGCTGTGGGTAGTCAAACATGTTTCCAAACCAGGACAGGGCTGAGTTCACAAAAGACAGCAGGGCCAGGAAGGCAATCAGATTCACAGTGATGTTGGCCACCAGAGCGATGGAGGAGGATGCTCCCTGGGTCGCAGCTTCCAGCAGGTTCCTCGAATCGCTTTTGTCAAAAAAATAACAATTCCAAAATTACCAGGGGCTGGCGGTGCACGGATATCACAGGTGTAGAAGTGGAATATTGGAGTTCATTGAAGGGTGAGATGAACCCTCAGATACATGCCCTTGTGGTCAAAACTCTGACCTGAATGCCTTGGAATTGTGATGGAATTGTGATGGGTTATAGTCGTTGAATACAGGTGTGAGCGTATGAATGTTTGTTCTAATTTGGGAGCATTTGTAATACAAACTGGAAATGATAAAAAACACTTACAAGCTTTAAAGAAAATATTTATTGCAAGTTGCTACCAGGGGCTGGAGCAGTGGCGTAGTGGGTAAAGTTGCAGCCACCTGCAGTGCCAGCATCCCATATGGGCTCTGGTTTGAGCCACGGCTGCTCCTCTTCTGATCCAGTCCTCTTCTATGGCCCCCATCTTCTAGCAGTAGAAGATGGCTCAAATGCTTGGGCTCCTGCACCCATGTGGGAGACCTAGAGGAAGCTCCTGGCTCCTGACTTTGGATTGGCCCAGCTCTGGCTGTTGCGGCCATTTGTGGAGTGAACTAGCGGATGGAAGACCTCTCTCTCTCTCTCTCTCTCTGTGCCTCTGTCTCTCTGTAACTCTGCCTTTCAAATAAACAGATAAATCTTAAAAAAAAATATTCTGACAACTCAAGGAAGGCTTGCATCACCATGGCCTCACATAAGAAATAAACTATCATGTCACCTTGGATCTCTGTGTGTTCTCCTAATCCTTTACTTCCCCTCCAATCTCAGAGACACCTGCCCTCCTGAACTCTACTGGACATGGTCTTCCTTTACAATTTTGCTACATGCCTGAACCCCTGAGTAGCACATTCTGTAAGGCTGCATGTTTCCATTTTGGAAAATATGCTTGGGATAAGAAGTGCTTTGGATTTCACATCTTTGAACATCTACACATATGTAATGAGGTATCTTGGGGATGAGGTCTGCCTAAACACACAATTCACTTATGTTCCATAGAGGAAGGATCTTCAAAAAGGTCATTATGACAATGTACGGATTTAAAATTTTGGGGGGCCAAAATAAACTTTTTTTTTTTTTTTGACAGGCAGAGTGGACAGTGAGAGAGAGAGACAGAGAGAAAGGTCTTCCTTTGCTGTTGGGTCACCCTCCAATGGCCGCTGCGGCCAGCGCACTGCGCTGATCCGATGGCAGGAGCCAGGTGCGTCTCCTGGTCTCCCATGGGGTGCAGGGCCCAAGCACTTGGGCCATCCTCCACTGCACTCCTGGGCCACAGCAGAGAGCTGGCCTGGAAGAGGGGCAACCGGGACAGAATCCGGTGCCCCGACCGGGACTAGAACCCGGTGTGCCGGCGCTGCAAGTTGGAGGATCAGCCTAGTGAGCCACGGCGCCGGCCCTAAACTTTCTTTTAAAAAATTGTTAATTAACTTATTTGAAAGGCAGAGGGAGAGAGAGGAGAGAGAGAGAGAGATCTTCCATCTACTGATTCACTCTCCAAATGGCTACAACAGCCAAGTCTGAGCCAGGCTGAAGCCAGAAGTCAGGAACTGCAACCGGGTCTCCCATCCAGGTCACACGGGCCCAGTGCTGCCTTTCCAGACACATTAGCAGGGCACTGGATCAGACGTGGAGCAACTGGGACTCAAAACAGCACTATAATATGGGATGCTGGCATTACATGCTATGGCTTAACCCACTGGGCCACAATACCAGCCTCCAAGATTATCTTTTAATTTCATTTTCCAGGAACTTTTTGAGGTGTCTTTGAATTTACAAGGAAGTATGTTTAAAATGAAAAGTTAAGGGGATGTACTGAGATTAGAGTGCTTAGACTTTGATATCATAATTCACTGTGTTGGCCGGGTATCCCATTTTGGCTGCACTTTGACTTCGGATTCCCCATCCCAGCTGTGTCATCATTAGTTAGGTGAGCATGTCTCACTCACCCATGTTCCATTTTCATGGCATTCTTGAGGGTTATTTTAGGCTTTTCTGTCTCAGGCCAAAAGAGTTTTGCTACAGCCAATGACGCAGGCGCTGACATGACTGAAGCCGTCAACAAATGGGTGGAAGGAATCTGAAATTTCAGGAGAAAGAGGACAAACAGGTTTTTGCTTTACTCTTGTGTTCAGAAGAACGGGCCAGAGGCCTTCCCTGGGAAGAGGTAGGGCAGGAGTTGACACTCAGCCAGAAGTTGATGCTTCTCTAGACGGCTGAAGAGTAATTCCAGCTCAGTGAGCCAAACCATGGACATCACTTGGGAGTCAGAGAAGAGGGAGGATTTGGTGCTGATGGGCAGGTACACCCTGGGGCCAAAGCATCGAATCAAAACCCGGTCATTTCAGAAGAAAAACGAACCCTTTCCAAGAAGACTGCTCAAGCTCTCCGCTGGCCTTTGGGACATTCCAGTGGTCTTTCATTGCACCCTCTATTGCGACAGAGCAACCGTGGGTGTGAGAGGCGACTGGAGAAGGGACTCTGGACCCAAGCGCCAGATCAGATAGTTCCTTCTGCACTCCAGAAATCCTTCCTCCTTTACACCACGTTCACCTACCCAGAGTCCCTTTACTCTGAGAGCTACTTCTGTCTTTCTCAATAGAAACCTACTCTCCCCTTCCCACTCCACTCCCTTGCACGGTCTTGGATTTTTCCAGAATTCCAGAGTCAGCACCTCCCTCCCCATCCCCCTCAGGCCTGGCACGATTCTGAAGGCAGCATTCTAGCCGTAGGATGCAGGGACGCATCTAGGAGTCGCCAAAGTGCCCACCCCTAACATGACTTCTGCCTTGTCTTTCCCTACCCCTTCTTCATCGTGGGCTCTCCCAGGCTGCAATGACCTTGTAAGAGACCCCAATGACCACAGTCACACTGTGAGAACTCTGTTGTTGGGTTTCTCCACTGGAAGCTACGTCTATGTCTTCTACCTCTGTCAGCTCTGTGCCTGGGGTACACACACCAGTTACCCTAACATTCTCCAGTCCAACACCATACATCGCCCAATTTCAAACTTGGTTGTGTAAAAATATATTGATGTCTTGGTTTCATCCCAAGAAAATCTGCATTAATGACCCAGGAGTGAGAGTCTTTGAAAAACTGGATGATTTTAGTGTGGTAGTAGGATTTAAGAACCAGTGCTCTGGGCTAGGGATCAGACAATAGATATTTTTAGCTTTGCAGGCCACACTACCCTGTAGCAGGAAAAGTGCCCCAGACAAAAACAAATCAAAGAATCTGGTTTCCAAGAAAGCGTCATTTACAAATCCAGCAGTGGTTTGGATGTGGCCCATGGGTCCCATTTTGCTGACCCCTGGTTTAAATCACCTTTACTAATGCCAGTAATTGTTTGTTTTTAAACAAATTTAGATTTTCAGCAAAAAGCAACTTCAGAATATGATTTTGAAAATTAGGCTACGTTTGGATACAACCCACGCCGAGGGGACAGGAATAGGAAAGTGAATTCCTCGGGGTCCACATTCAAATGCCACAACAGTGGTAACAGTGGTAATCAGGACACTCTCTTGATCTCCTTCTCCCGCTAGCAATGATAAAGAAAACAAAACCCAAAACAACAGCCAAGAAGGAAGAGATTACATTTTCCAAACGTCATCTCACCCCGAAAGAAATGTACGCGCCTAGGACACTTCCTGCGATGGTGGAGAAGCCAGCAGTCATGATGGCGTGCAGTTCAGACCTGGTGACGTGCGGTAGATACGGGCGGACCAGCAGTGGAGACTCTGTCTGGAGACAAAGAAGGCCGGCCTGATGCAGCGCTCGCTTTTAAACCTCGGGTGACGCCGACCTGCCCAACACTGCATTCTGCAGGCAGAATTTCTTTCTCTTTTTGATTCCCAATAATTGTACCAATTTTTTTTTTTTAACTTGAAAGGTAGAGTGACAGAGAGAGAGAGAAAGAGAGGAGGGAGAGAGAATCTTAGATCTCCCATCTGCTGGTTCACTCCCCAAATGGCTGCAACAGGTGGTGCTGGTCCAAGCAGAAGCCAGGAGGCTGGAGCTCCGTCCAGTCGCTCACATAGGTGGCAGAGGCCCCGGCACTTGGGCCATCTTCTGCTACTTTCCCAGGTGTGCTAGCAGGGAGCTCGATCGAAAGCAAAGCAGTCAGGAGTCGGAACCAGCACTTGGGTACGGAATGCCAGAATCAGAGGCAGAGGCTGAGCTGGCTGGGCCACCACTCTGGCCCCTGACTGTACGTATGGATAGGGTACAGTGTGGCATTTCACCATCACCTGGGGACAGGTGAAAATTCTTCGACTTACTGAAGCAGTAGTCTGCGTTTTATCCAAGCTTTCATGTGACCGTGATGCATGTTCAAGCATGAGACAAAACTCTATCCATACCTGGGTCATGTGGACTTGAGCTCAGTGTGTGTATAGAATCATGGGTGAGTTTTGCAAAATCTGCACTCATAGGGGGCCTCCTCCTCAGGGAAACAGAGACATAGTATTTAAAAACTAAACTGCAGCAGTAACCAGGATGGGCATCGGCAGGCACCTTCGTCCTGGGGAATGAGAGACCTCTCTCTCTGGTGGGTGGGAAGGACCCAGACGTGATGTAGCTTTAAAAGCTTGAATCTCATTAAAGGAAGACAGGCAGCCTACAGTGTGGGTCTCTCCATGCGTAATAGCTGTACTTTCAGCATATTAAGTATCAAATTGAGCACCACAGAAGCATGTGTGCAATTTTACAATTTTCTCCTCATTATTTCTAATTGTTCTATAAGATTGAATGTGTCGAGCCTCAATTTATAGACTAAATAGGGACCCAGTACGGGAGCCCTCTCACCCCACAGCTAGGAGCAATCAACTCAAGAAGGTGCCCTAATTAGTTCTGAGATTTTATGACTATAATTATAATAATTTCAACTCCTTGGGAAGGAAGTGTGGGCCACTCTTCCCCTCCCACTCTGTGAACTGTGCTCCAAGCTCACGGGGCCTGGCTCACCCCCAGCAAAGCTCAGCTGCCTGCAGCAGTTGTCAGCCTGGGGTATGGAGTCATGTGTTTTTCTGAGTGACTTGATTTTTGCTTCAAATTCAGTTTCCTTGGGCAGTGGTGCTGGCTAAGCATTTGCGTACTTCATTCCTGGGTGTGTGATTCCATTCTGCCCAAAGCTATATATCCTGAGTGTGGAGCAGCTATCACCACGTCTTGTTTGCACACCCCTTAGGCAGGCTGTTATTTGAGGGACACCCCCTAGCATCATATTTCTTTGATTCAATGGACCCAGGCCAAAAAAATAAGAAATATCGATCCATGTGATAGACCAAGAAGGAAGAAAATTGTAGCCTAAAGGCTTATCTTGGATGAGATGAGGAAAAAAAAAAAAAAAAAAACAAACAACACCTGAAAGCATTTGTCTTCAGGCTTGTCAGACAATTCCTGCCAGTTCAGACAGGCTGAGAAGGCACCAAGCATTTGCCCCACTGCTCCGCTGTTGGTGGAAAGCTCTTGGTCTCCATCATTGCCGCAGGTACCACAGCACACAACGTGAGGCTGCCTGTTACGTCTTTCGCAGTTTCAAGATGTTGAAATCTTTTTGAGTGCAAGAGCTGCTAGCCTTTGAAGAGTTGACAGAGATCTCAGTGACTCAATGAACTCAGAAGAGATTTGCTGAGAATCTAGATGTGAGAAGCCCTACGATTTAATAAAATGACTCAGAACTTCCTCTAAGAAGCCAATTCCATACCAACGCCATCCCTGGAAAGAATTTCTCTCTCTAAAAATCTGAAGATTGCCAATACCTGCCGTTTCTTATTTTGACTCCCTTTGCTCTACGCTAAAAGAAGTGACAGGGGCCGGCTGCTGTGGCACAGCGGGTTAAAGCCCTGGGCTGCAGTGCCGGCATCCCATATGGGCACTGGTTTGAGTCCTGGCTGCTCCACTTCCAATCCAGCTCCCTGATAATGTGCCTGGGAAAGCAGCAGTGGATGGCCCAAGTCCTCGGGCCCCTGTACCTACATGGGAGACTTGGCTCCTGGCTTAGGATTGGCTCAGCTCCAGCTATTGTGTTCATTTGGGGAGTGAACCAGCAGATGGAAGCCTTCTCTGTCTCTACCTCTCTATAACTCTGTATTTCAAATAAATAAAATAAATATTTAAAAAGAAATGACAAATTGCCATGTATTCTCCTTGCCCTTACTGGAAGTAGGCTGTCCATTTCAACAGGCGTCTTTAGGTTTTGGGTGTGATAACTTACTTGTCCAACAAATATATTGCCAGAAGCAACTACAGATTCAATAGGAGATGAGCCCATGGTAACCAGCATTACCCATCCGACCTAAAAAGGAAGAAAAGGACAGCATCAGTGAAGAGCTCTTTGCATCAACAACCCTTCAAAAGTTGCCGAACTGGAATAAAAAATGCTGAGGCCTGTAGCAGTTGTTGGTGGGCTAGTGATGGCACGGTATGGAAGCGTAACCCACGCAGCAGGTGGTGCGGCCGGTGAAATCCTCCCGTTGGAGCGAGAAGTTTCAGTTGCTGGGCAAATTTGAACGTTCCACAAATGGATTTCTTTAGATACTAGGGGTCTTTGCAAAGTTCATGGAACAAATGAGTACTATGAAAAAACGATGTGTAGATTATGAAAAATAAAATTGTTGGCACCCAAATAAGCTTACCTTCCAAATCTATTTTTCCCACAAGCTTTGTGAGGTACTCCTCATAGTAGACTACAAATACTAATGACAACTGCTAGCCACCATGCAGGCTTTACTGACCTATCTCAAGCCCTTGACCTAGGTAATGCATTTAATCCTAACAATGACTCTTGGAGAGAGGCCCTGTAATCATGTCCATTTCCTAGAAGTCTCTGTGTTCTGTCAAAGGCCACCCTGCTGATCGGTGGCGTGGTGTAGCGGAGGTTTGGCCTTCTTATTTCCTTCACATGAACATGGTTTTTGGTTCTTCTTTGTGTGTTGGTTTTTCTGCCAGGGACTGTGGTCCCCACCCCAGGATGGGGACTTCCTGTGGGATTCTCTCCCTCTGCGTTCCTTTGGCTTAGACAGGAGTGCATTGATGCTAAGTGTGACAAGGAGGAAACTCTGGTGCTTGGAGTTCTTGCCGGGTTTTTAATTCTCTGCTGGTTTTCTGGTTCTCTCTTTCCCTACGCTCTTTTCTCATGCTTCTTGCAGATCCATCTGACTTCTCGGTGGAGAGGAAAGGGGGGTTGTGGGCTGCCCCCTAACTCTGAAAGCATGCTTTTTCTCATGTGCACGCCGGCTAGTTCACAAGGTCCTTGCTTTCGGATCTGACATACAAGTGTAGGATGCGCAGTTAGCAGGGATGAGATGAACTCTTCAGCCTTTTTAATTTTTCAAAATGCCTGTGTGGGGGCTGGCGCTGTGGCACAATAGGTTAATCCTCTGCCTGTGGCACCAGCATCCCACAAGGATACTGGTTTGAGTTCTGGCTGCTCTTCTTCTGATCCGGCTCTCTGCTATGGCCTGGGAAAGCAGTAGAAGATGGCCCAACTCCTTGGGCCCCGGCACCTGCGTAGGAAGACTTGGAAGAAGCTCCTGGCTTCTGGCTTCAGATTAGCCCAGCTCTGGCCATTGCAGACATTTGGGTAATGAACCAGTAGATGGAAGACCTCTCCCTCTGTGTCTCTGTCTCTGACTCTGTCTCTCTCTCCCTGTAACTCTACCTCTCAAATTAATAAATAAAATCTTAAAAAAAAAAAGGAAGACTGGAACAGGCATTTAGCACATTTTTTTTTTTAATTTATTTGACAGGTAGAGTTAGACAGTGAAAGAGAGAGACAGAGAGAAAGGTCTTCCTTCTGTTGGTTCACCCCCCAAATGGCCGCCAAGGCTGGTGCTGCGCCGATCTGAAGTCAGGAGCCAGGTGCTTCCTCCTGGTCTCCCATGCAGGTGCAGGGGCCCAAGCACTTGGGCTATCTTGTACTGCTTTCCCAGGCCACAGCAGAGAGCTGGACGGGAAGAGGAGCAACCGGGACAGAACCCGGCACCCATATGGGATGCCAGCGCTGCAGGGGGAAGATTAACCAAGTGAGCCATGGCGCTGGCTCCTAGCACAATTATTAATGCTTGGGATGCCTGCATCTCCTATAAAAATAAAATAATGTAAAATATAAAATAAAATAAAATGTTTGTGTGCTTACAAGTCTCCCTATGGAAAAAAAGAGCAGCTTTTCCTGTTTGCTTTGTTTCACACAGCAGGAGCAGAAGTGTCTCGTTGTGTAACACCCTGAAGATAAGGGGCGACTTTGTCTAAGACACGTAGCAGATAACCAAGAGGGACAGAGAATGCTGTTTCCTCCCGGCTGGTGTCTGGCCTCAATTCTTCGGTGGAAGAAATAACTGCTAGGTTTTCATGAAGGCAGCCACCGGGCTATAAACCGAACCAGGGCCCTGACACAAACAGGTCCTCCCTGGGCATGGGTAGGATTTCGGGGTTGACTCTTGTAGCATGGATGACGGAGGTAGGTCTTGGCAGGAAGAGAAACACCTGGATCAAAGGCATTTATGACCTTGTGCTGAACACAGTCGGCACCCAGCACCCCCCAGAACCAGTACCTTTCTGATGACCCATTGCATGAGCCCCAGGTAATACAGCATGGACATCACAGTGCTGAAGAAAACCACAATCGGCAGGACCTAGGGATGACAGAGGGGGGACAGAAGTGACCATGGCTCGGCTCAGTGCTGGTTCTAGAAGCCTCTGCGGGCTTCCTATCAGGTCTCCTCTGGGCCTGCTTTCCTCCCTCTGCACTGGAATCTCCTCTCAACTTTACCAGGCGGCTTCCCCGTCGTGGGATCTTATTCTAGTGTCTTCCAAAGAGGTTTGAGTACTGCTACAGTCCGTGTGTTGGAAACTTAACTCCCCAATGCCTATGTTGATGGCATTGGAGGTAGGATTTGGGTAATTAGGATTAGATATGGCTCTGAGGGTGGAGGCCCCAAGATGTGGCTGTATAAGAAGAGAAAGGGGGACCCTCTTAGTCTTGTGGTGGGATGCCCTCGGCCACATTCGGTTGCAGCCTAAAGCCCGTCCCAGCTGCTAAGCAGAGGCTGGCCCCATGCTCCTGCATTTCCCAGTCCCTAGAACCATCAGCCAAATAAACTTACTCCTTAGAAATTACCTGGCCTCAGGGATTTTGTTCTAACAAAAGAAAATGGACAAAGCCAAGTGTGTTTCACATCAGATGAGACCTTTTTTCTCTCATAGACTCTCTTCCCTTACATAATGCACGTGGCTTTGCGGGGAACCTGTAATAACTGCATCAACAGGCTGAAGACAGCTGGCACACATTCCTGTCGCCCTAAAAACACATGGATTTCGCCACTCCTTGGCAGAGGAACCCGGGCTGAGGCTGTGGTCACCTCGGATGCTTCTTTGCGGTGCTCACACAGATCAGACAAGGCAGGTCCGGGCTCCTAGCCAATGCCTTCTGTAGAGTAAGCACTCAGTCTTTTAGCTTTTTTTTTTTTTTTAAGATTTTATTTATTTATTTTAGAGGTAACGTTACAGACATAGAGAGAGAGAGGTCTTCCATCCACTGGTTCACTCCCCAAATGGCTGCAACAGCCCGTGCTGGGGAGATCTGAAGCCAGGATCCAGGAGCTTCTTCCGGGTCTCCCATGCAGGTGGAGGGGCCCAAGGACTTGGGCCATCTTCTGCTTTCCCAGGCCACAGCAGAGAGCTGGATCGGAAGTGGAGCAGCTGGGACTCGCATAGGCACCCACATGGGATGTCGGCACCTCAGGAGGAAACTTAGCTTACCATGCCACAGTGCCAACCCCAAGTCTTTTAGGTTTTATAATAATAATCCTTTGGGGCACACTTTTGGCACAGTAGTTAAGAGGCCACTTAGGGTGCCCACATTCCACATCTGAGTGCCTGGTTCGAGTCCTGGCTCTGCTTCCAATCCAGCTTCCTGCTGATACACACCCTGGGAGGCAGCAGATGATGGCTCAAGGACTTAGGTCCCTGCCACCCACTTGGGAGACCTGGATGGGGTTCCAGGCTCCTGGCTTTGGCCTGGCCCAGCGCTGGATGTGCTGCCATTTGGAGAGTGAACCTGTAGATGGGAAATCTCTCTCTCTCTCTCTCTGTGCATCTATCTTTCTAATCAAATTAAAATAAAGACTTAAAATAATGATTGTGAATTTCAAATCACCAACAACAAGTGACGGCAGTTTGGAAGCTCGTTTAGTTCTGCTGTCATAGAAAAGCTGTCTTATCCTAGAGCCCATTTTCCTGGAGTGTTCTGATGCCTGCCAGGCAGCCGGTGATTCTAGGGGGAGCAGTTTTCTGGTCTGCATAGTGCTGGAGGCTGGGTCCCTTGCTGCGCCCGCCCCACGGCAGCCCTGGCCACTGTTCCCCAGACACACGACCAGACACGAGCTGCCACCAGAGGTACAGGATGATCGAGGACAATTTTTTCAGGATCTAATTTAGAGAGGCCTATTAATAATATATATTAAAAGACATTTTGTGCCAGTACTCAGAGCTTGTTCTCTTAGGAGCATTTGATTGCATGGAGTGGCTAAGCTATGGCTCATCCCTGTGATATTCCTGGGTGGGTTCTGTGCTGGCGGGAAGCAATCAAGGCAGTCCCTCGTGCAGAGGTCATGGGCAAGGCCAGAAGCAGACGTCAGGCGTGATTAGAGCCACCAGCAGGGAGCTGGATCAGACATGGAACAGCTGGGACTCGAACTGGCGCCTATGTGGGATGTCAGCATCACAGGTGGTGGCTTTACCCACTGTGCCACAATGCCAGCCCCGGCGTGAGCATATTTTTATCTCAGCCTATAGACGCTTGATTTTTTTTGGAGATGGTGTAGTTACCACAACACCAAAGCATCACGCCAACAGCTTAAGAAAAGACTCAGGTGGTACAGTGGGGTGAAGCTGCCTGTGATGTTGGCATCCCATCCGAGTGCCGGTTCCAGCCTTGGCTGCTCCACTTCTGATCACACTCCCTGCTCTTACGCCTGGGAAAGCAGCAGATGATGGTCCAAGTGCTTGGGCCCCTGACATCCATGTGGGAGACCTGGATGAAGCTCTTGGCTTTGGCCTGGCCCAGCTTCTGTGGTCATTTGGGGAGTGAACCAGTGGATGGAAGATCTCTATCCCCTGACCCCTGCCTCTGGTAACTGTCTAGACCAAGGCTGTGCAAAGGGGCGATGAGAAGGGTTTGGTGTGAGGATGGCTGATGTGGGTGACCAGCTAAGCTATCCTGGTCTGCCTGGGATGGGGCTGGTTTCTGAGTGTAGAACTGTCACGGGTCCTGGACGTGGAATTCAGCAGGGACCACAAGTTTGGTCATGAACAAATACACAATCTTCTCGCCCCTGAGGTACCAGATGCTACTAGCCTGATGATATTTTTCATTAGCATCTCAGGCAATGCTACAAGCACCCCACATCCTCCCCAACCACCACTACAAAATATCTAGATGTTTTCCTCAATGCTACACAGTTGTAAGAACGTAAAAGTATTCAGTCTACTGAGTTCAGATAACGATGAAATGCAACAGCCTGCAGGAGCAGACCTGGGTTTGGGTCAGGGAGGTCCTATCTGAGCACCTGCAGAGACCAAGAAGCTATTGCCAATGTGGCAATTACGTAGAAAAGGGGTGTGGCTTTACCTTAAATGCAAAGAAGTGGTCTGTGTATTTCTCACCAAAGACAAACGACGCGCCAGCATCAGTGTACCCCAGAAAAGTCTGAGTTAGAGAAAGAAAGAAAGAAAGAAGTTATTATGATAACTGGAGGCTACAGTGCACAGCGACACCAGGCTCTGCCAAGGATGGACAGAAATCTGGCTGACTGGACTTGGAAAATGCACGTTCTCAGCTTGGTCCCTCCAGGGAATGGCACAGAGTGCATTCTGGAATTACACCTGCCGTTTCTGACACTCCGCCTGACTCCAGGATGCAGAGGAATGAGCTGAGGGTGGTGATTTGCTCCAGCAAACTATGAAACTCGCGTGATGGTACCAGTTCCCACTGAATACAGAGCAAGCCTATTGTCAGCAGAGCCACATCGGAAGTGTGCTACCCCTTGGGCAGGATGCCAGTGGGGACAGGTGAACACGTTCAACATAAACACAGTTATCTGATTCCCACTATGGGGTTTAAGCCTGAATCAACTAGGGCAGACGAGGCAGCCTATTTCAGACATATGTTGAGCTGTGGAGTAGATCCAAACATATCATGGAAGTAAGGTGTTCCACTGAACCAAGCTTACCTGAACTTGTTTTCCCAGCCAATCGAAAGCTATAAATCCGGGTTTGGTCCTTAGAATTAAGAGCCCAAGAAGAAACTGTAGCCCAATTCCCCAAAAGACAGGTCTCCAGTAAACCTACGTAGGAAGATGAAGAGAGAAATCTTATTAGATGATTGCTGACCTAGGCACACATGTCCAAAGCGTCATATATTTCCTTGGTTGCATTCTCATATGTAGCCTGGGACCTACCTTTTTTGAGAGGCCAGAGCATTGATGACAAGAGAATCCCTTGATTAAAACCGTACTTAAAAACCTTAGGATTGGGGCTAGAATGGTGGCGTAGTGGGTTAAGCTGCTGCCTGTGGTGCCAGCATCCCACATGGGTGCCAGTTTGTGTCCCGATTGCTCTAGTTCCAATCTGGCTTCCTGCTAATGGCCTGGGAAAGCAGTGGAAGATGGCCCAAGTGCGTGGGCCCCTGCAACCCACATGGGAGAACTGGAGGAAGCTCCTGGTTCTTAGATTCGGCTGTTGCAGCCATCTGGGGAGTGAACCAGTGGGTGGAAGACCTCTCTCTCTCTCTCTGCCTCCCCCTCTCTGTAACCCTGACTTTCAAATAAATAAATAAATAAATCTTAAAACAACAATAACAACTCGGGATTTGGAACAGGTGTTTACCCTAGCAGTTACGAAGCTGGGTTCCATGCCTGGTGCTGGCTCCTGACTCCAGCTTCCTGCCAAGGCAGACCGCGGGAGGGAGCAAGTGATGGCTCAGGTAATTGAGTTCCTGTCTCTCAGGTGGGGACTGGATTCCTGGCTCCTGATTCCAGCCTAGTCCAGCAGGAATTTGGGGAGTGAGTTGGTGGACAGGAGCTCGCTCTTTCCCTCTCTCTCCCTGTCTCTCTCTTAAATAAATAAAAATATAAAACAGCAACAACAACACAAACAGCTCAGGCTTGGACTGAGTCTAAGTCAAAGCCTTCAATCCCAGTAAAATAGGTAACCACTGTGCCCCAGTAATGTCCACGCGAAGCAGCATAAGAAAGGCCATTAACAGAGGAAGGCTCTGGCTGTCCCAGTCCCATGTCAATATCAGCTACATATAATTACTTCTCTTGTCTGGCAAATGGAAAGGCAGAACACGACTTCTCTGTGTGTCCAAGGTTTGTTGACCCGGCAATTTGAAAGTGAATTAAGTGAAATTCTGCCCTGCTGTAGGAACTGCTATTTCTCTGTAAAAGGAACCAATTAACTCTGATGCGGACCCGGTAATGGACAATCATCTGCTTCCATTTGTGGTGGAGAGCTGAGCGGCCTGAAAAGAACAGTGAGCTCAGAGGCAGGTACAGGGAGACATCCACCTGAACAGGAGAGAATCCGGACCACACCAGTGAACACGGTCTCTGATGAATGCTTCCCACCCCCTGCCTTGGGTCAACCTTTCAGCCAGAAAAAAGAATTTAGTTTCTGGTTAATGCTTTTTTTTTCCCCTTGGGTCAACCTTGTAGCCAGAGAATCCCTCCAATGGCTTGCCATTGTGCAAGTCCTGTGCGAGAGCAATGGGGCTGGGCGGAACGAGAATGACAATCGGGCTCAATCGGAAAGGCGCTGTCCAAGGACCGATTGTCTGGAATACAAAAGCTCACATTGCAAATGAGATGTTGATAAACTACCGCATCCAGTGGGAGACTATTAGGCTTTTTTACTGGTCTGGGGAAATCTGGATCAAAACAGAATGAGTTTTCCTGTGTGTTTGTGTCGGGGAGGGGTACACGGGTTGGAAATCAGATGTGACAGCGAAAGAACATCTCACTGGCAGTGCACCTGCAAAATTACTGAGAATGCAATGGAAATGGTACCAGAGAGTTATGAAAATCCTGGAGGAAGGATACCTGAGAACCTTTAGGTAATCATAAAAATAGTGAACAACCAATTCTCTCACGATCATTATTTTTGGCAATTTTCACATGGGGCTAAATCGCGCAAAAAGTCTCCCCAAAGACCAATTTCCTACTTACTCTGGTCGGGTGCTTGGAAAATAGAAATATCAGGGTGACATACATTAGGAGCCCGCCAAAGGACACCAGCTGCTGTTGGCCCAGCTTGGCAGTATCGAGGATCAGCCAGCACATAACCGCCAGGATCAGTGAGCTCCAAATCACCCTACGAGAATGGGGATAGAGACACTGGTTGAGCTGCCTTGAAAAGCATCATTAGATTTGAACACACTAAAGACAGAGTAACGCGCCCTGGCGCAGGAACCGGTGCTTTTGGAAACTGCAAGAGACCCTATGATTGTGGCTATGGTGGCTCAGAGTTAAAAAAATTCATCAAACATTCTGCAACTCGGGGCCCTTTGAGCTAAGAATCTATGCTGGCTTGCAGCTCCCCTGGGGTCTAGTAGGCATGCTTGCATGGCAGAGTTGGGAAGAATGCTCTATTGGGATTGCACAGTCCTGGTCTATTCGGCCAGTGTGGGAAGTTTCTCAGTAGATCCCATGAGCATCTCACTGGAGAGTCCCACCCAGTAGGATCACGTGGAGGGAGAGAAGGTAGCAGATGGGATCTGGATGTGGGATCCGACAGGAGAGAGTTGGCTTGAAGAATTCCCAAGGAGGCCAACTTTGTGCCCGGATCGGGAAGGTGCCTCTTGGATCGGAACTGTCCCAGCCCTGACCTCTTCCTGGCTTTGGGGCTGGTTTAGAAGCAGGTTAGAGGGAGAATGGGGCTGTGCAGGCCCCTGCCAGGACACTTGGCCAAGTTCTGGTTTCATTATTGTGTGGGACAGGACGTCCTAATACTAAAAATATATCCTTGGAGAGGGCATTTAGCCTAGAGGTTGTGACCCCCGCACGAGAGTGGCTGGGTTTAATTCCGGGTCCTGGCTCCTGATTCCAGCTTCCTGCCAGTGCAGGCCCTGGGAGACAGGGGTGATGGCCCAAGCACTGGCGTCCCAGTCACTCGTGGAAAACCTGGCTTGAGTTTCCAGCTCCTGACCGCGGCCTGGCCCAGCCCTGGCCTTCTGTAGGTATCTGGAGAGTGATACAGTAGATAGGAGATATCTGTGTCTGTATGTCTGTCTGTCTCCCAAATAAAATACAAAAGAAAGTCTATTGACCATCGAACAACTGACTAAAGAAATGAGCAGACGGCCAAACCCATGCCTGCTCTGCCCATATTCTTGCATGGTGCTGTACTCTCCACTGCTTCCCGATACATGGATCCAGCATCTGTCATGGAGGACACGGAGGATTACTAATGTCTTTTGGACATTTGATCGTTAAGCAGCTCTTGAAATTATGGCAGTGCGTCACCTCTCATTGAGGCTTTGCTTTCTTCATTGTCCAACGGACTCCTGAGCTTCAGTGTCCCATAAACGAGGAAGCAATTTTAGGGCACACTTTTGGGAACAGTGTGGGAGAAGACGAACACCCCCCCCCCCCCGGGGCAGTAAGAGAACCAGGTGGTACAGTTACCACTTGAGCCAGAACCAGTGGCGGTTCAGAAGCCCCCTCCCAGGAGAGAGGATCTCGTCCATCCGACGTTCGTATTTGACCATCAGGCGGTCCCAGATGACAAAGAAGATGGCAGCCACGGTGATCACAAAAAGAGGAAGGGCTCTGTGGAAGTTCAGCACGCAGGCTGTGGTCACCAGCACCAGATACCCTGTGCAGGAGGCAGACACAGGCGTGAAACATCACCCACGCCAGCTGGACCCCAGCCTCCAGCCTGGTCTGACTCCAGCAAGGAGAGGGTTAATCAAGGAAACTGAATACATGGGGCGCTTACTATTTGCTTTCTTTGATGGGGGGATGGGAGTGGGTGAGGAGTTTGCGAAGGCTTTCTTTTTTTTTTCAAAGCAAGTCCCTAAGATTTCCATCATGAATCTAAGAGGACAAAGAGTGAAGTCTTTGCAAACAGCATCCTCTCCTGTTTGAATCTTGATGTTTGAATCTTGATGCTCGATCATGGGCCTGTCACATGGTAGGAATCAGCTTGTCCCTTGCCCAGCGAGACTCAGCAGGTGAGCTATGACCTGATGAGAGCTGGGACCAACGCAGATCCAGAGGCATAGATCCTCCTGGACTGGAGGTTAGATTTGACCCAAGCTTCAGCAGTGACGTGGCGACCTGTCGACAATCTCTGTGTGCCACAGACTCTCTAAGGAAGGGGTTGGGGCGGTTTCCCAGGTGGTTGTTTGGCAAGTGATATGGTTAGAATATAACCCCAGGGGCTGGTGCTGTGGTTGCAGAGGGTTAAGCCACCGCCTGCAATGCCTGCACCCCATATGAGCGCCGGTTTGATTCCCGGCTGCTCCACTTCCAATCCAGCTGCCTGCTAATGCACCTGGGAAAGAAGTGGAAAATGACAAAAGTCCTTGGGCCCCTGCAGCCACATAGGAGACCTGGAAGAAGCTCCTGGCTTCTGGCTTTGGATCAGCCAGGCTCTGGCCGTTGCGGCCATTTGGGGAGTGAACCAGTGGATGGAAGACCTCTCTCTCTCTCTCTCTCTCTCTCTCTCTTTCTCTCTCCATCTCTATCTCACCCTCTCTCTCTCCGTAATTCTGACTTATAAATAAATAAATAAATAAATTTTAAAAAAGAAAAAAGAACATCACCATGAAGTTCAGTGTTGGAACTCAGTCTCCCGATTCTTATTTTATTGATATTTGGAGGTGAGGATTTGGGGTGGGGATTAGGATTAGCCGAGGCCATGAAGGTGACATTATTGGCTCTATCATAAGAGGAATGGAGATGAGACAGAGTGCACATGGGATGCCTCCTGCTGTGTTCTGAAGCAGCAGGAAGCCCTCACCAGACACCTAGCTTCTAGAGCTGTGAGTGGAAGGAGCCTTTATTCTGCAAACATTCCCAGCCTTGGTATTCAGTTATAGCGACAGACTCGACTACAAACAGTAAGTGATTCAAACAAGTAGCTGCTGGCCTCCCAAATGGGCCTCCCCCCACAAGACCAAAGATGCAGGTGCCTTGATTTACTTCTATACTCCTCTGGAGAGGTCTGTGGGATCCAGGGAAGGGTCAAGGTTTCTGAAAGAAAGAAGTTAGTGGGGTTGGGGCAGGCGCTGTGGCGGGTTGCAATCCCTATGGACACCGGTTCAAGTCCTGGCTACTCCACTTCTAATCCAGCTCCCTGCTAATGCACCTGGGAAAGCAGTGGAAGATGGCGCAAGTACTTGGGACCCTGCCACCCATGTGGGAGACGTGGGTGAATTTCATGGCTCCTTGCTTTGATATGCTCAGCTTTAGCCATTGCAGCCATCTGGAGAGTAAACTAGCAGATGAAGACCACCCATGTCCCTTCCTGAAACTCTGCCTTGCAAATGAATAAAACAAATCTTAAAAAAGTAGAGACAATGGCCTTCCCACCCTGCCTTGGTATTTACCTGCTAATAAAATGCCCCAGATGATATAGCGAAGGGTGGTTTTGTGTTTCCTGCAAAAATCGCAGACTCTATCATACTTCCTTGCCAAGCACCTGCAACACAAAAGCAAAAAGGCACAGACAAGTAAACACCAAGGACATGGGATAACCTGGCACGCTAAGGCCAGTTTAGGCTTTGTTGCATGAACAGATAAATCTAGGAGGGGGCACATGTCTTACAAAATCCGAATGGGAAATTGGTTTCATTTCAGACGTAACTCAACCCCAGCTTGCATCAGTCTTCACTGAATGAGGGTACCAAGCCCCAAGGGATTAGGGAGTGGCAGAGAGCACATACTGGAGCGGAAGTGGAAGGCAGTCACCGAGGGTGGTTGTTTCTGGGTAGGAAGTGGATCACACGGACAGCGACCAGAATCACCGTGTGAGCCTTTCACAGTACGGGAGGCGTGTGACCACGCGTGCTCAGAATCAGAGAATATCGGGAGAAAGAGAAGGGTGGTACATGGCTGATGGCGGAGAGGCTGCAGATACAGCGACGGTGCAGCGGTCAAGGGATGTCGAGGGATATCCGGCTCCTGTGGGATGACGTCATCAGATTCTTTAATGGCAGGGAGGACGTGTGGTCCATTAGAGCAGCCCAACTCTGCAGAAAGTGAGGTAGTTGCAAATCGACACGCGGGCCACTGGGTCTCTGAGCTGGATCAATTCTCATCTCCCTGGTGATGGAGTCATCCGTCCCAGGAACATTAACGACACCTACGGGCCTCTGACCACCGACAGAATATACCCCAATCTCCTTGGCCACAAGCTCATTCATGGAAAACAAAACTCAGCTCAGCCTTCTGAGGTGGCAAATATTCCTGATGGTGTACGCGACTCTTTCCAAAAAGTTCATGGAAAAATGGAATTAAAAGATGAGTTTATTTTGGTGCAAAAAAAAAAAAAAAAAAAACTTAAAAGTTTTTCACAGTTTCCATTTTCTAAGCAATTAGAAAAATTTTAATTTTCATTTATTGGAAAGGAAGAGTGACAGGCAAAAAGAGATTTCTCACTTACTGGTTCACTACTCACATGTCTGCAAAAGCCAGAGTGCAGCCAGGCTGTAGCCAGGTCTCCCATGTGGGTGTCAGGGGCCCAGGCACTTGGGTCAGCTCCTGCCTCCCAGCGTGGCCATTAGCAGGAAGCTGGATCTGAATCCAGGACCCAAGCCAGCCTCTCTAACATGAGCTGTGGGCATCCCGAGAAGTGGCTTAAGCTGCTGTGCCAAATGCCCACTCGAATCTATGAGATTTTTGAAGTCACTCATACACAGAGATCTCAATACCTTTTGCACCAAAATAAATTTAGTCTTTCATTCTGTTTTCCACAAATTAACACACACACACACACACACACACACACAACCTTGTATGTAACTTGAACTGGATCAACCCAAGTTGTGGGCATTCGGAGAGGGAACCAGTGGATAGGTGTGTGTGCGTGCTCTCCCTCTCTCCCTCTCAAATAAATGAATAAAATTTAAAAAAGAAAGACAATGGACAAATACTGTAGTGTTAAGAGTACCCAGACAATCCTGGACTAAGAATCAGAGACTGACATTGTGAGCCAGCTCTGTTCCTACCCAGCTGACAGAACTTGGCTAAGCCACTTCTCTTAGCTTCACTCTTCTGGGCCCCAACCTTACAGAGCCATAGGCATAGGGAATGCTATCAGGATACCACAGGTAAGAGGAATAGTTTGTTGGGATTTAGAGTGGATTCCATCCTCAGGAATTGATTATTACTGACTGACATGGAGAAGATGCATTATCTATCTACTTTTGTAACACTTGGAGCTATTAGTTGGTAATTTCCACCTTTAATTAGAAGACTATCCTGGTACATTTAAACTGAGATAGTGGGTGTCCAGGACATGAGCAGCTTGAAATGACCCCACTGCTCATTTGAGAGCTCCATCAATTTTTCCAAAAAATGGCTTTGGGTGGAGTGTCAGAGTGTGGATGGTGGTGGCAATCTACTAAATCAGAATAAACCTCAGACATCAGAAAGGGGAAAGCCAAGTGCTAAACCCCAGCAGGAAGTGGGCGTGGTTAATAAATGTCAGATAAGCAAAGTGCTAAACCCCAGCAGGAAGTGGGCGTGGCTACTTCCCTACCCTTTGGCGTGCATTTCTTCATCCACCTCATTGTCATCGTCATCGTCATCTTTGTTTCTTGCAGGATCCTGTTCAATAATGACTTGTTCTTCACCCTGGAAATCAACCATCAGAAAGCAAGCAACAATGGGTGTCCTGGCACGATGGAACCCTGTCTCCTTAAACGCAGATTTCTGGCACAGAGCTTAAATTAATACCTGAAAAGATGGCCACCAATTATCTACTGCATAGACATTCTTCACCCTTCCCCTTATAATCACAAAAAAGTCCAGGATCACTCCTCTCTCTTTCTTGCAAAGGAATCATTGGTATTTTCTTCTTCTCTTGAGGGATCAGGCTTATGGATCTGCTTTTGGGTCTTGTTCCTCATTGTGACAGTCAAACCCAGCTCTGTTTCAGGCAAATGTAACTAAGGGGGCTGCATACCGCTCCCTCTGTTCTCTGCCGGTCCCAATTTCAAGACTGCAACCAAACAGTTTTATTTTGTTCTCACCCAAGGCCTGGTCTGCAGATGTGAACACTAGCTCTCTGCACCTTCAGGCTATCCTTGGGCTAAGGGGGACTAGTTCCCTCATTGGGTCACTGGGCAAGTCTTTGCTAGAAGTCAGAAGTGCCCTATGCACCTGGGTCATCTTTCACAGGCAATCTTCATTGCTGCAGTGTGACCTCTCAAATCTCCATGACAGGGCGTTGTGGGTAAGGTCGCCACCTGCCATGCCGGCATCCCATATGGGTGCAGGTTCGAGTCTCGGTCGCTCCACTTCTGATCCAGCTCTCCGCTGTGGCCTGGGAAAGCAGTGAAAGAAGGCCCAAGTCCTTGGGCCCCTGCACTCACGTGGGAGACCTGGAGGAAGCTCCTGGCTCCCGGCTTCAGATCGGCACAGCTCTGGCTGTTGTGGCCAATTGGGGAGTGAACCAACGGATGGAAGACCTCTCTTTCTCTCTCTGTCTCTGTCTTTCCTCCTCTCTGTGTAACTCTGACTTTCAAATAAAATAAATGAATCTTAAAAAACAGAATCTCCACGGCCCGTGTTGTTTCCAGGGCGGCCTGGAGGGTTTCCCCTCTCTCTTCACTCTGCTCAGTGCCTCAATGTGCAGTTCTGGCTACAGCCACCAGGGGCAGCAAACGCTGAGGAAGGAAGCAACAGTTTCCTTCCCAGCTGCGGCCAGCGTGGTGATTGTCTTGACCCTAACAAAAATCACAGAAAGAAATCACTAGCACGTTGCTGAGCGGGAAGGATCCTCAAAGAACAAGTCATCCTCCACTGCCTAACTCTAGCACAATCTGACTCCGGTATCTTGCACTTTCTAAACTGGCCCTTAGGGACCAGTAAGATAAGAGGAAAATTGGGAGCGTGCCCCGCTAAGTCCCACCTGCAGTTGTTACGGGGTAACAGTGAGTGCATCCTACTCATTTAATTCTACTGAATGCCCACCAACCGTCAATGTTTGGTAAATGCTTGATTACTGTGATCCCAATTGTTACTTTCAACAGCTCAAAGTACCCCAAGTTCCCTACTCTCCGTAGAATGTCTAGCCATGCTTTTCTTTTTTCCAATGCCTTTTCACATTTTCAAAGCAACAAGACCCCCACTCCAAACAGCTGCAGTCTTGGGACGTGGGCTCCTGCCTGCCTTTCACAGCCAGAGCAGCTGGGAGGAGTTGTCTTTGCTTTGTCTGAACTCCTTCTCACATCTGCTCACTTCTCAGCTCGCTGTGCCGCAGCTGCTGCGGGAGATGGCCTCTGCCAAGGTCACCCAAAGCTCAGTGCTGCAAAAGCCAGCAGCTCCCCCACTGGTATCAGGTTCCTGTCCCCTACTGCGCATTGTGGACATGTTGGTTTGTTGTGAATTTCTTAATAGACTCTTTTTTTTTTTTTTTTTTTTGGTAACATGCAGTGTTACTTACACAGCAAAACTGAAGCTGAAACAAAATTGAAGCAGCCATGATTTTCCATATACCCCGTACCCACATATACAACAAGTCTCTGCCACTATTAATATCTTAAGAGATATTAATATATAAGATATATATAAGATTGATATCTTAATACCAGAGTGATGCACTAGTTACAGCTGATAAACCGACAGCCACAGTTGCGTTATCACCCCACGTCCACAGTTCACATTAGGGTTCATTCTGGATGTTGGGTGCTTGTGAGTGTGGACAACTGGATAACGACACAGATCTACCATTGCAGTGTCACAGAGAATGACTTTGTTGCCCCAAAAATCTACTTATTGATCCATGCCTCCCCCTGGCCCCTGGCAACCCCTCTTCTTCTGACTGTCTCCAGAGGTTTGCCCTTTCCAGAATGTCGTAGTGTGGGTATCATACGGTACTGGCCTGCCGTCACTCGGTAATATGCCTTTACGATTCCTCCGCATCTGTTTGTGGCATGATAGTTCATTCTTCAGAGCTGAAAACCATTGCAACCTCTGCATGTATCTCAGTTTATTTAGCTGTTCACCCACTGGCAGATACCTTGGTTGCTTCCAAGTTTTGGTGGTTATGGATAAATCCACTAGAAACATCTGTGCGTAAATGATTATGTGTTCACAAGCATTGTTTCCTATTTCCTTTGATGTAGAACAGTGATATGAATGCTTTTTATGGCTTATTAAGTGAAATAGACAGATACCAAGTGCTAGGCATTGCATTATCAACATACAAGGTGCTATATATTATTAGTATATACAAGTAGGCTCTATGCGTGTATAAAAAATACTAAACCCCAAGATGTTAGGCACTAACATTTTAAACTAAGATTAATTTTTAATTTAAATTGAATTTCATCTGAAGTTACAGCCCTTTTGCTGGTCTTCCAAATTTTGCTGCGGGGGTAATTTTCCAAATTTCCTACCCTACAGAGGTTCTCAAGAGAGGACAGCTTACAAAATGGTCCAAGTGTAGGCACACAGGACCTTTTTAAAGGCAGAGCTGCACAGGTCATTTTTTCACTCTTTTAGCAACAGAAAGCTTTCCTTAAAAACTGACCCAGAATTCGGTATATAAGTAAAATAAAGAACTCCTCTAACTCGTTTAACTTAGGGAGTCATTAGGAACTCGTGGGACTTGAGGGACCCGGCTCTAAGAACTGTATCTTAGAGCCTTCCTCTGGTCTGCCTCATTTGCTTTAAAAATCGATTGCTCTTGCTGAAGCCAATGCCTTCTGCCTGGAAATGGAGCTTGGACTCTGGAACAGCGGGAAAGGAGAGAAAGCCGGGAGAGAGGGATGCGTGTTTGGCACAGCAGTCAAGAGGGTGCACGGGCCGGCAGCAGGCTAATCCGCAGCACTGGCATCCCGTATGGGCTCCTCCACTTCCGGTCCAGTGGAAGACGGCCCGAGCGTTTGGGCTCCTGCATCCACATGGGAGACCCGGATGAAACTCCTGGCTCCTGGCTTCAGCCTGGCCCAGTCCCAGCTGTTGTGGCCATTTGGAGAATGAACCCGTGTATGGAAGATCTCTCTCTGTGTCTCTCCCTTTCTCTAACTCTGACTTTAAAAAATAATGCTGCTTGGAGTGCCTGCATGTCATATGGGAGTTCCTGAATTTGGGTCGCAGCTCCACTCTCAATTCCAGCTTCCTGCTAATGCATACTCCGGCCGGCAGCAAGTGAGGGCTGAACTACTCGGGGCCCTGCCACCCACATGAAAGACCTGACCCGCGTTCCAACCTCCCAGTTTCAGCCTGGCACTGCAGATATTTGGGGAGGGGACTAGGAGATGGAATTTCTGTCTGTCTGTTGCAGGTTTCTGTTTGTCTGTCTCTCTACCTTCCAAAAAAAATGAAAAGAAAACTCAAAAGAAAGAAAGCGAGCCTGGGTGAGGTGGTTTCTTTAGGGACTTGGAGGTGTACAGAAACACAGTGAGTGTCTGGGCAGTGTTTTCTCCCTGATTCTGCCTAGCACACCTTAACTGCTGTTCAGTTCATTCCTCGGAGTGCCAGCTGAGCACCCCACCCTGTCCTCACAGCTCCCAGCTCCCAGGCGCCTGCCACCCGGCGGCTGCCACAGGGAATCCCTCACGCTACGTCGTCAGATCTACCTGCTTGGTGTTCCCTTGCTCCCCACTTGGTACAGCTCGATTCCTCACGGAGCTGTTGTTTTCTGACGTGTTCTGGTTTTCCAGGAAATTGTCTTCAATCTAATAGAAAAAAGAAAAGTACAGATTGTAAAAACACGTCAAAGGCAAACATCCTCCAATGAATGAAGCCCAGAATTCTGAAGGTTGAGGCGGCCCAAGATGAGGTGTGCAACGAAGCATTTGATTCCAGACTTATCCAGAAATGTGAGGTTGTTTTTTTTTTTTTTTCCCTTTGTTTTGTTCTGATGGCAAAGACTGGAGGAAGAGGAGGAGGGCAGTTGTGCTAGGCTAAGCCAGATGACTCTCTGCTTGAACTCACATGGAACCAGAGGCAGACGGTCCCTCCCCGTGCTGTCATATCACACAGGTTGTTCGGGGGTGGGTGTTGAACCTAGCAGTTAGGATATGCTGGGTGTCTCACAGCAGAGTGCCTGGGTTCAGTCCTGGCTGTAGCTCCTGACTCCAGCTTTCTGCTAATGCAAATGGCCGGGGGTGTGTGTGGGTGGGGGGGCAGCGGTGCTGGCTTGCCTGGTTGGGTTCTGCCACATGGGAGACTCAGAGTGAGTACCACAGCTCCTGGCTTACTCCCCTGGTTGCTGTTGGCCATTTGCGGGGGGAGTGAACCAGTGCATGGAATCTCTCTCTCTCTTAAGTAAATTTAACAGCAAAATTAAAAAGTGTACTAAACCACTGGCCAGAGAATGTTTCTTAGCTGTGTTTCATTTTGTTGAGAGCAAATGCTGGTAGGGATGAAAATCCGAAGTAAGAATCACGCCTGCTTGTTTGGGGCTATCTTGATTTTAAGGAACCCGGCTGCTCCCAGTGGGGCCGTCCGAATCCCTCAGCTGCCGTGGCCAGATGTGACAAACACCTGGCTCTCTTTATTTATTTTTTTTGGAGGTGTCCAATGTTTCTTCCAGCAGGTCCCAACTCGCCTTCTTTGCAGCAGCTGGTAGAAGGCACCGGGAACTTCCCCCTACCAGCCCAACAGCTGTGACCTTGTCTTTGAAACAAAGCCAAGTACATGGGTTTGGTTTTAACGTTAGATTTCTGGCTGGCCCCAAGAATGTAGAACTATGCAATTCCAGCTTATGATGGTCACAGTTTTTCACTTATTAAAGCACAAGGGTGTTAATGTCAATACGATCTTACAGCACGCTCATGATGTACCCACAAGATGCGCTGTCATTCTTCTCATGTTAGAACTGTTGCTATATTACATTGCCTTAATTTTTTCTTTTGCACAAAGCAGACACTAACAATTATTTGTTGTTAAGGAACCTTAAGTTAAGGTTATTTTTTAAAAAGATTATTTATTTATTTGATAGGCAGAATTACACTCAGAGAGAGGTCTTCCATCTGCTGGTTCACTCCCCAATTGGCCGCAACGGCTGGAGCTGTGCTGATCCAAAGCCAGGAGCCAGGAGCTTCTACTGGGTCTCCTACGCTGGTGCAGGGGCCCAAGCACTTGGGCCATCCTCCACTGCTTTCCCAGGCCACAGCAGAGAGCTGGACTGGAAGAGGGGCAGCTGGGACTGGAACTAGCGCCCATATGGGATGCTGGCACTGCAGGCGGCAGCTTTAACCACTATGCCACAGCTCCAGCCCCATGAACCATGGTGATCTTACGGTTGCATTAGTACAGGCCCTCCAGGGCCTCTAGGTACTTGGTATAGAGTACGGAAGACAAATTGCTCATGGCTGAAGGTGGCTGATGGGCACTTAGGGGCTCATTTTGCTGTTCCCTCTCTTTGATGCATGCTGACATTTTCCATAACATCAAGTTAAAAATAAAACCGAGCCCGGGTTGCCGGAAAAACAACTCGGAGCACTGAAGGGCTGGGCCTGAGGTCCCTCTTTCAGAATCCTGACATTTTCTGGTTTCTCAGCTTCCTGATGCTGGCCGCTACTGCCATCTGGTGGCTGGACCTGAAACTAACTAGTGCGACACAAGGCAGGCTCCCACCTCTTAGCAGTTAATGAAAGTGGGAGGAGGGTGTGTGTGTTTTGGGGAGAGAGAGTTATGGTATCAGGGCACCTCGGAATGCAGAAATGCAGTTTTCGCAGGATAATGTGCTCGTTCTGCCCCCAGCAGAGGAGATGCCTTGGTCTTGCAAGATCAATGCCTGCCCTTGAGAGTTTCCAACAGAATAATAGAGTTATTGTGCGCCTTGAATAGGACCTGAAAAATAATCAGTATGACACCTGTTTTCCTGCTTCCTTTCCGGTTGAAGTCCTGGGACCATACCTGGTGGCTATAATGACTTCTTAGTCCATTGTTTGACTCCGGGTATTTCGCAAATCTCATGCCGACAACCATGGCAAAGCCCATCGCTCTACTGAACAGGTGGGGAAGTGGTGGGAATTATGTACTCGTCTTTTACAGCAAACCACTGTAAAACAGCTGTTTATCTGAGAAGCAGACAAGGAGAGAGCTCCTATCTGCTGGTTCACTCCCCAAACGCATGCAGTGAACGGTACTGGGACAGGAAAGGAACTCCATCAGGGTCTCCCACATGGATGGCAGGAGCTCAACTACTTGAACCACCAAGCGCTGCCTCTCCCAGGCCTGTGTTGGCAGGAAGCTGGAGTTGGCAGTGGGAGCCGGGTATCCCACCCAGGTTCCCCTACATGGAACACGGGCATCTTAACCACAAGGCTAAACACACACCCTGGTTTTACGTATTTTACATTTTCTGAAAGGGGTCCACAAGAAATACCAGATTTCCTACTTTAGGCCTAGAGATTGCACACAGCTTTGATCACATTGGCAGAACCTAATCACAACCAAGACAGGGGCAGAGAGGGGGGGCCTGGACACCTTTTTCTTCTCTGCAGTGGTAGGTCCTGCTGAAATTCTAAGTCATGGTTCTACAGGAAAATGGTGAACGATAACTATCGGAGACAATTAGCTGACTTGGCCACAATATACTCTCTGTTCAGATTACAGAGCTTAGAGGCTACCAGCTGTGAGGTTTTTTTTTTTTTCTTTTGTCTATGTCGACAGGCAGAGTGGACAGTGAGAGAGAGACAGAGAGAAAGGTCTTCCTTTGTCGTTGATTCACCCTCCAATGGCCGCCGCGGCCAGCGTGCTGCGGCCAGCGCACCGCGCTGATCCGAAGGCAAGAGCCAGGTGCTTATCCTGGTCTCCCATGTGGGTGCAGGGCCCAAGCACTTGGGCCATCCTCCACTGCACTCCCTGGCCACAGCAGAGAGCTGGCCTGGAAGAGGGGCAACCGGGACAGAATCTGGCACCCCAACCGGGACTAGAACCCAGTGTGCCAGTGCCGCTAGGTGGAGGATTAGCCTAGTGAGCCGCTGTGCCAGCTCCAGCTGTGAGTTTTTAAACGATTGATTGATCTGAAAGGCAGAGTGAAAGAGAAGCATAGGAGGTGTGTGTGTGGGGGGAGATCTTCCATCGCTGGTTCACTCCCCAAATGGCTGCAATGGCCAGGGCTGAGCCAGATTGAAGCCCGGAGCCTGGAACTCCATCTGGGTCTCCCTCATGGGTGTAGGTTTTATTCTTCACCTGTAGTAGCCTGAAAGGGGAGGAGAGAACCTCTTGATGGATGTGTCTAGATATTTCCGCCTCTATTTCCTTCATCTATGCCATTTGTAAACAGACATTCAGGCTTCTCAGAGTTTGAGAGTGGACCCCCTGAGCACACCCGTCAATTCCTTTTCATGTCCTAAATTCAGCCTTGCTGGGTGACGACGCGACCGCTGCCTTTTTCACCTTTCTGAGTCAGTGAGGCGTTTTCCAAGTCCACAACTGCTCTGCTGTTCTGATTCAGTCCAGGCCTTGGCTGTCAGGCGACTGAATGCTCTCAGCTCTTGCCTTCCCTTTCGTGCTGTTTTTTCAACAGCTCCATTCAGATGTGATTTTTCTGTTTTATTTTTGCTTTTCTTCTCAAGACTTGCACTTCTTTTTGTTTGAATGGTTCTCTTTATGGCCAACATAACAGGATCTTCTCCAGCTCCCTTCTTTTTTGCCTCATTATTTTTACTCGATTTTAGCTGAGTAAATAAATATATATATATACACATATTTTAGTATTTAGTTTTCTGTCTTACACTGCAACTAATAACTCCTTTGACTTCCCAAAATGAGGAAACTGGCCTACTTACTATGTGTTCTTTTCTCCCCATTCAAAGAGTGTTCCAATGATCCATATTGTCAGGTGCTTCAATGTTTTTAATTTGTTCTGTATTTTTAACACCTTGAATTGTTTGCCATTCAAAATGGACCATCCCTTGGGGCTGGCGCTGTGGTACAGTCAGTTAATGCCCTGGTCTGAAGTGCTGGCATCCCATATGGGCACCGGTTCTAGTCCTGGCTGCTCCACTTCCGATCCAGCTCTCTGCTGTGGCCTGGGAAAGCAGTGGAGGATGGCCCAAGTCCTTGGGCCCCTGCACCTGTGTGGGAGACCTGGAAGAAGCTCCTGGCTCCTGGCTTCAGATTAGTGCAGCTCAGGCCATTGGGCCAATTGGGGAGTGAACCAGTGGATGGAAGACCTCTCTCTCTCTCTCCTTCTCTCTCTCTGTAACTCTGACTTTCAAATAAATAATAAATAAATCTAAAAAAAAAGTATGGGAGAAAATGGAATTAAAAGATATAATTTATTTTGTTGCAAAAAAGAAAAACAACTGAGATCCATGTGTAGCTTCTTCATAGTACGCATTTTCCTGAACTTTTTGAAAACGCCCTGTAGGTAGGTGAGTAGGCAGTTGACCAAATGAGCAGCTGTGATCAGCCATCAGATCTGACCGACTGTGTGAGGTCTTCTGGTCGAGGTTTATCATCCTGGCTACTCTGCATCTGATCCGACTTCCTGCTAATCCAAATTCCTGCTGGGATTCAGCAGAAGACGCTTTAAGTACGTGGGCACTTTCCATCCACCTGGGAGACCCGGATGGAGTGCCTGGCTCCTGGTTTTGGTCTGGCCCGGCCCCGGCTGTTGCTAAGAATTTTGAGAGTAAACCCGTAGATGAAAGATCTCTCCCTCTGCAGACCCCACAATCTTTTTTCATATGAAAAAGAGCCGAGAAATGGAAGCCAA